TTTGCTCGTGAGAAAGTGAAAGCTAAATTGCTAGGGGGCAAGGTGCTGAAGAAAGGGAACTAGAAACCCAGACTCAGCAGGGCTTCAGAGAGCAATGCAGGTATCAAATAATATTCAGTGAAAAGTACTCACAGCGTCCACTGTGTGCCAAGAACTGTTCTAGGCACCAGGGAGACCACAGTGAACAAAGGGGCACACCGGAGCCAGTAAAGACATACAGTGCCAGGTGGGTAAGTCGGGTTGGCATCAATGGCCTAGAACCAAAGTCCGCCCACTGCCTCTTTTTGTGAATAAAGTTTCATTGGGACACAGCCACACACTACCGTCTATGGCTGCTTTCTGCATACATGGCTGTCACAACAGAGACCACCTGGTCCTTTACAGAAAGGTTTGCTGCCCCCTGGTGTAAGTGCAGGGGATTCAAATTGGGTGAAATGAGAGAAAGTACTGGGGGAGGGGCAGGCAACTACTTTCCACTGACTGGTCAGGGGACACCTCTCTGATGGTGATACTTAAACCAATACCTGAAGGACAGAAAAAGGAGGCAGCCACAGCAAGTGCTCCGGGGAATGCAGTGTAAATGCAGTGTAAAAAGCGGCAGCCGTGCACTGGAGCCCTGGCACCAACGGGGAGTGTCTGAGCGGGAACACAGGCAGTGCCCTCCTTAGGCACTCCACAGTGCTGTGCCTCACCCCAGCACGCCCTGCTTTGAGGTCCTGCCCCCACCTTGCTAATCCGTATGCATCCCTTTCTCCCCTGCTTCTGAGAATCCCACCACCTCCCTTTCCGTGGCCAACAGCGGTAGAAAGAAGACCTGGTGGGGAGTTCTGTCCTTGCCTTGGGCAAGTGCCTTGGCCTCTCTGAGCCTCAGTTTCCTCATCTGGAAGGGAGAATGACCTCATTAACCACAAAAGTTTGTTTGAGGTTTGAGTAAGGAGTGTAAGGAAAGTAAGCTGGAAGGTGCTGTTCACATGGAACTTACGGCTACAGACAGGAAATGCACCTGTCTCCACTCCTCCAGGTGTTAAAGAAGAAATAATTCCTAGTGCCGTTAGACGGTAAGGCAGACTCGCTTCAGGGGGCTGTGGGGGGTGGCAGGGGAGAGAGAGTGGCTCAGCTCCTGCATGGAGCATCATGGCCAAGAGGCAGGGCGGGGACAGTGGGCGGAGAGTTGCTGAGAGGAAACTCGAGGCTGGGGGCTTCTTGCTCCACAGACTGCTTTGGACTCTTTTATGAGCCGGTCAGCGGCTGCGGCCACAAGAGGAGACGGGGAGGCTCGGGAGGAAACACAGTTCCTTATACTCACAGGTCCCTGAGAGACAGCGGTCAAGAGGGCGTCACAGGCGTGGGCTCAGCCAAGCTGGGGAGCAGAGAGGACCGTGGCAAGGGCCTTTTTTGGGGATCTGGGTGGAGTACACAAGGAGAGACGTGAGGAGATGTCACTGCTGCCTTGAATGTCGGGGTCACCACTGGAGAGCAGGAGGGAGAACTTGTTGGGAGCACCTTGTCACACTGGCGCACCGGGGTGGGTGCTCACAGCCCATTTGGGGATGCGGAGGCAGCAGAAAGATAGGGGGGTTTTAAAGGTTACAGTGCCCCGACTCACCAGGATTCTTGCTGAAGGCAGACAGGCCATCAGACATGGAGCGGGGATTTGATCAGTTATCAAGGGTGGGGGATTTTCACTAAACTGACCCGGCAGGTTTCTTGCTGAAACTGGACTAACCAGGCCGAGGGCACAGGACACAGCCCAAGCTCGGGAACTTGAGGGCTCAGGGGAGCCTGACTAGGGTTAGGCTGCCTCTTCCCTCTCGCCTGCATTTCTGGGGTTGGCCCGGGAAGGAGGCAGACAGGTTGCCAGCAGCTTCCAGCCCACCACTGAGCAAGGCACAGACGCTACTTTGCCGCACAGAAGCCAGCCAGGCTTGGTTCAGAGTGGCCTCTGGAAGAATGCCAGGGCAGCAGCAGTGTCCCAGAGTCACAATGATTCAAGTCTCATCACCGCGAAGGGCCGACGGGACTCATGCAGAAGGGACAGGCATGCCCTCACTCCTTCACACGGGACAGACATGTTGGCCAGCGTGCAAAGTGTCAAGATCAACAGGGGAAGAAACAGAAGGAAAGAGCCACAAGCCAGTTGATTGCACAGTGCGCCCGGGACCCAGTGATTGGATTGAAGTCGGAAGCGGGTTTTCTGCCTTCCTCCATCTCAGGAGAAGCAGCCACTGGCTTCACACAAGGGATCTGCGTGTGTTAGTAAGCGGTGTGTCACGAGAAAGGTGGAGAGCTCTTCAATCTTCCCAGTGAGATGCTCATGATAGAAGGCGGCGCTCCCAAGTTGCTGACTGCAGTTCAGTTGCTCACCACGCGGTGGAGCTGTGAGCAGGGCGCCTGGTTTACGGGGAAGACGAAGGGCTGGTTCAGAAGGTTAAATTAGAATGAGGGAAGGTGCCTTTGCTTCAGGGCTCCGGGCCTAGCTGCAGCAGCAGACAGCATCGGGGAGAGTGCTAGCGCCCGATTCTTCCAGCCTGGTCGGCAGCACCCCGCTGAGTAACTGTCCCAGGACAGAACCTTTTCAGCTTTTGTGCTGACTCGGTAATAGTTCAGGGGAAGTGCTGGCGAGATTGCCCGGCCCCTCAACGCCCCCGCAGTGCTTTGTCCCTGAACCTGTGGAGACTTGAGATTAGAAGAAGAAACCAGAACAAGGACAACTTCATGTTCTGCAGATCACCATGCAAGCCGTGGTCTCCAAGCCTAGCCAACCCAGCATCTTAGGACATACATTTTGTGACACCCTTTTACTCTCCTGAAATAAAACTCATAGATAACAACGCACCTACACAGATAATTTTAGAAGATCAGTAGAATGCCCTAACTTCAATGTAACAAAGACATCAAAGGAAGATATTTAAGTAAAACATAGTGTGTTTCAGTGTGTAAAAGCCGGGCACAGGGCCTGAGGAGACGGAGTGAGACCAGCAGCTCCAGGGCCTCATCCGCGGAACCCTGAGCGCACCGCCTCCTGCGCCTGGGGTACTGCAGGCTGGGGTGGATTCCAGCTCTGCTGCTGCATGCCGTCGTGATCTTCACAAGCGGGGGACGGAGCTCGTGAAAGATCTGCAGAGCTATGTGTATATGTATATTCTTCCACCAACTTATAAAATAGTACTTTCTTGAAAAAGTCGTATGTATCAAACAGTGCCCCCTAAGGCCCTCGGGGTCGTAGGTGAAATGCAGTTAAGTCCTAAGCTCAGATGATCATAAACAGGTTTTTCTCCTATATCGATGCTCAGCACACACTCAGAGGTCCAGGGACCCAGGAGAGTTCTTACCACTGGGGACTCTGTGTGAACAAATCTGGGCACCTAGCACCCACCGCCAGTAGCTTCCCCAACATTGAGAACGAAAAATGCCACCGCCCATCTCCACAATGCCCGCCAGGGGGCAGTGTTGCCCCTGTTGAAAAAAGTGGGTCACAGTTTCCTGGGAGAAAATGGGAGTAGAGTCTGGAGCCTTCAGGAGAGCTACGAGTGTTATATGAGCTTGCTCTGACAAGAGTGGGCACCGTGACAGTGGCTCAGCTGGGAGAGACCAGCAGTAACTCAGCACCCCCAGGATTTAGAACGGGAAGCAGTGGCTGGCTAGGTGTGAGATCCCACTGTGACATGAAGGCAGGCGCTCATCTCTGAAATGCTCTTGCGTGGGTCACCTCCAAGTCAGTCATTTCTGCAGCGCCATCCCACTGTGCCAGGTGCTGGGGACACCATCTCTCCCTCAAGCTGGCTCCCAGGCTAAAGGGGGAGAGCGCCACACAGTTACCCCACAGTCAGGTGGGGTCAGTGGAGAACCACACGTGGGCCTGAGCCTGCCAGGGAGGAGAGTTCCAGGAGAGATCACAGCAAGATAGGTCTCATGGGATGCGTGGAAGTTAACAGGCGAAAGCAGAGAAAGCCATCCTGGGTTGGGGGCAAGGAATTGCCCCCAGGCTGCATGCCTCTGCTCCAACAGAGCTGCTATTGTTAGGGAGCCAAACCTAGGCCAGGGTGGTAGAAACGAGGCTGGCACGGGAGGCCAGCGTGGGGCCAGGGTGGCAGGATCGAGGCCCCACCGTGTAGACCTTGAGGTGGGTTCTCTGGGTGCACAGAGCACCTCGCCAACACCATCCCGTCAAAGGCACTCATGTTAGATTTGACGTCAGACCGTTCATATGCCTGTGTCTCCCCAGGCCCACAGATCTGGGGGCTCTAGACCGTCCCATTCCCAGCGCTCTGTCTAGCAGATGCGAGGCCCTCCATGAATGTTTGTTGATGAACGAACGAGGGAGGGAGTGGCCCTGTGTTGGGGAGACTCCTGCTTCTCCCTGTGGGGCTGAGGAGGGACAGTGGAGAGGTTATGTGCCCTGGCCTCCTCCACGGTGTTTAGCTTTGTACCTTGTGATGCCCCTCCTTCTCGTCAGCTTCTACTATGACATGTCGTGAAGGAACCAGGCCCCTCCCAACAGGAGGAGCAGATGCCCCAGGCCAGTCTAACACAGCTGACCAGATTCCACTTTTAAATTGATCACGTCACAGGAATGGCGCCACCCAATTCGTTATGCATCAGAATGCAATGGAAATCACAAATCCCTAGAGACGGGAGCAGATGGGTGGCTGCCAGGGGCTGGGCAGAGAGGGGAGGGGAAAGTGACTGCTAACGGGGGTGGAGTTTCCTTGGGGCTGATGAAAATGCTCTGGACCTGGACAGCAGTGATGGTTGTAGAACACTGTAGATGTACTGAAAGCCTCAGAATGGTACACTTTACACTGGTTAAGATGGTGAATTGTGTGTTCTGTGCATTGTACATGAATGTTTTACACGTGTGGAAGACAGAACGAAAAGCATCTGCACCACGGGCACACGTGGGAGGGACGCCGCGGGGCTCGGATGGTGGGAACCGGCGCCTGCTGCTTGCTCGGGGCCGCCTTCTCTGTGACTGACGGGCCTCTCTCGTCTGTGTTCAGGATACGCACCGAGGGCTCTTCATCCAGCAGCTGCGACCCACGCAGACCCTCCAGCCAAGAATCAAACTGAAGCTGTTCGGCCACTCGGGCTCGGGGAAAACCACGCTGGTGGAATCTCTCAAGTGCGGGCTGCTGCGGAGCTTCTTCCGCAGGCGCCGGCCCCGCCTCTCCTCCGCCAGCTCCGCCAGGTTCCCGCCTTCGCCCCTGGCTTCCAGGCCTGCAGGTAGGCGCCCCGGCCCGCGGCCCGGCCCTCCTCTGTGGGCTGCGTTCCTGCTCCCTCCGGTCAAGGTCCAGGATGAGTGATGGCTCTGTTTTCATCGCTAGACCCATACTAGCTGGATCCCGCCGCTTTGGTAGCTTTCCGGTGTGGTCTAGACCAGCTGTGGGCCCTGTGTCCATCTCCTCTCAACTGGCAGTTGCAGGCTGCCCGGAGATAGCGGGAAGGGGCCTCCCTGAAATCACAGTCACAGTCGCAGGTGTGCAGGTAGCAGGGCTGCATCCTGTCCTCCTCGAGGACTCTGCCCTGAAAGTCACAGAGCTTGGACTGACATGGGTCCCAGATTGCACGGGCAGCATGTCGGTCCCCAGAAGAGGTCCTCGCCCATGGAGCCGTGAAGCTGGATTCACGGGGAAGCACCGTTCCTGCGCCTCCCGGAGCTGGGTGATGGTTTTGAAAGCCCCTTTAGTGGCAGTCACGGTGGGCCGTTCTGCTCACGTTGACCCTCTCGGGAAGCAGGCTTACTGTCTTCCTCTCCTTCCAGGACACGGAGCCACGGAGCTGCATGTCACCTGTCCTTCCCCAGGGGAAGCACCCTCACTGAGACAGGAGATTGTGCAATCTGGGGTGTTATTTCTCCAGAATCCCCGTTTAGAGTGAGGATATTAGGGGACCAGCCCAGGGCCCAGTGGTTAAGGTTCTGCACACTCCACTTCAGTGGCCTGGGTTTGTGGGTTTGGATCCCGGGTGTAGAACTGCTCCACTCATCGACCATGCTGTGGAGGCATCTCACATAAAAAGTAGAGGAGGTTTGGCACGGATGTTAGCTCAGGGCTGATCTTCCTCACACACACACAAAAATGATAATAGAGTGAGGGAATTAAATTTTGTGAAGAATAGAGATCTTTAAAGAGTCTCCCAGCAATGTCAATTTTGACACTTTGTGGCTGGGATCGGTTTTCTGTACATGATATTACAAAGGTGTCGTAGCTGTTTCCTGGGGTGAAAACAAATGATTTAGAGTTTGTGTTTCTGTGTGATTTCTCTCTCCATGAGGTGTCTGGGGAGCCTTAGCCAGGGGACAGTTGACTGAGTTTACGTGCCACTTTCGCCTTCTTTTCTCTGAACACAGCAATAGAATTGAAACTTGGGGAATAAATAGTAACCAAAACAGATTTATAATTAGTGTGGTTGTGATATTGCTAACACATATTGCTAATACTTATTGAGCACTAACTGTGTGCCAGGAACTGAGCAAAATCTGGTACGTGTGACACCTGATTGAATCCACACGACAGCCTTACAGGGCGTTTTTCCCACCGTCTTACTGAAGGCTGGAGGGGTCAAGTAGGCTGCCTGGTGTCCCAGCTGGCAGTGATGAAGTGTCTGGTTCCAGAGCCAGTGCTGGTTAACGACACTTCTAACTCCGTCTGAGTAGGGGCATTTTCATGCGCACGTTTTCCATTTTCCACTGTAGTTTTGGCTCAGTTTTGGGATGTAAGATGGCTGACACCTTGTCTGAAGCCACTAGTTTTCCAGATTTAATGGTTAGGTTCAGCCTGTGTGTGTGGACCAGGCCAGTGCTTCTCTTTCAAGGTGACTTCTCCGGCAGCTCCTCATGTCACTGTAGAGGGAGCCCACTCTGTCCTGCTGGGGGTTAAGGTCACTCCAGTCTGACCCACTGTTGGGGGAGAGCACAGAAGAAGACCATGTCTGTGTCTGTGTCTGTGTGACAGAGACAGAGGGAGACAGACAGATTTTGTAAGTCTGCGTTGGGTGTGAGGATTCTGCGCCGGGAGTCCAGGAACTGAACTGCAGCGGCCACACATCAGGTGGCACGTGGGCCCCCCGGGAGGGAGAGCTTTTACCTGCTGCTCAGTCCTCACCCCTCAGAAGTACTATCGCCATCTTCCTTCTGGCCAGTTTTCCACATCTGAAAGTAGATTCTTGACGAACGCAGCTCAGGATGGCCGGTTTGTCAGCACAGCTCACCATGTGTAACATCGTCCTCCAGCCAGTGCTGGGAGAGACTTGGTCCTGGGGCGCAGTGACAGAAGACTCTCGGGGACGATGCGCACTCTGGACCAAACGAGCCGCCCGGCCGCATCAGCATGGAGGCGCGCGTCTCGGGAGGCTGCCTCTCCTGTCCTCTCGGCCGCCCTGGGTTCAGAGCTGCCTCCCCCTCTGCCCGTCAGTGTCTCTGTCAAGGGAGCACTCCAGCGGGGCCGGGCTCCTCCAAAGACTGTCAGGAGGCAGACGCTGCTCTGCCTTATGTCCCCTGCGACTGAGTTCTTTAGAGTCCTTCTGAAGTCCTGTCATCTCAGAGGACGCTGGCTTTGCTACCAGAAGGAGCTGAAGGGAGAAAACTTTCAAAATGTACTCCCTTCTCCTGGGAGCTGACATCGTCGTTCTCGCAGGAGGCACTCTGCTCTCTGCGGTCACTTGTCTGAGGAAAGTCCATGTGGGGATTTGCAAGACCTAAGACAGTAGAAAATGCCTCAAAGACGTGAGAGAAGGCCAAGGGGCTTTTCTTAGGTTATCCAGGTGGCAGAGCTGCTGCTCCTTGGGGAGACAAGACAAAACCTATGTAGAAGCAAAAGAGTGTGGAAAGGCACGCGTGTGATTATCAGTTTGGCCTGTGCACACGTGTCCTCTCGGATTCTCGCACCATTGTGAGGTTGTGTCATGAACCCACTCCAGAGCAAAGTAAGCAAGGCTCGGAGATGTAAGGCATGGCTACCTGAGGCCCAGGTGGATGTCCAGCAGCCTGTGAGCTGCAGTGTTCTGTGTAATATGGGGGAGAGAAGGAGAAAAATCGGATTAGCTGCCAACATTTAAAAATCAGGAGATTTCGGCTAAGAAGTTGGCTGTGTGACTTCCTGGGGAAGGTTGGGAGTTCTGGCCACACTGGATTCCCGTTGCTGCCCAGTGCTGGTTAGTGAGAGGAGGGCGGCCGCCCCACGAGAGGCTCTGTACCACGTCCCCGTCTCCACCCAGCCCTGCACCCCACAAGTCCGATGGGCCAGGAGAGAGCTCAGGAGCCAACTCCCGCCCCCATGTACGAAATTCTGCCCTGTGACAGAAATGAGGTTGCCTTGGAGCACATGACTCCTAGACTGAGGTCACCCCTAGTCGATGTCAGAGGGGGACGTCAGTCCCAGATCTGTCTGACCAAAGCCAGGCGCCCTCCTGGGGGGCCTAGGCAAGGATGGAAGAGAGGGTAACCCCATAGAGGCTGGTGCTGCTTAATGCCCAGGTGGCTGATCTGCTCCCAGGATGGGTAGAGTTTCTCCCCCAAACAGCCCCTGGAAGAGACCAGACTCTGCAGGTAAATATCGGCCCGGGGCCGGGAACAGCCCAGAGCTCTGCCCGCGGGCTCTGTAGCAGGCTGCATCCTGCCCCAAGGGCGAGTGTGCCCAGCCGAGGGAGCTGCTGGCGGAGGCAGCAACATGCAGGGCCTGGACGCCACCTGTCCTAGACCAGCCAGCTCACCTGTCACTTCCTGGCCCTCACAGAACAGCATTAAGGGCTGCCTGGAGGAGACTTGGCTGGGGGCAGGCGGCAAGCTCTCATTCAGCGTCTAGAATGGATACTGCAGAAAGGACACCCAGGAAAGGCTGCCCAGAGTGTCGCCTCCAGGGAAGGAGGTCTGGTTCCAGAAACAGCAGCATCCTCACTTCACCGTGGCACTGCCAGTGCCGGGGGTCCCTGCTCTGCTGTCTCCTAGGCCAGACTCTGGACATCCATGACCTCTGCTAGAATGGACAGGCCTTTTCCTTTCCCCGGAGGGATGCCCACGGCGCACACTTGTATCATCAGACACAGGAAGTTCGCCTCTAGAAACTGGGCCCTTTGCCTTGCCATCTCCTGAGAACTCTGGAGGCTAAAGGCTGAGCCACAAGCCAGGAGACAGGACCAGGTGGCACGGGAGGAGCTGGGCGCCCCTGCCTGCAGCCGCTCACCGCAGGTCGTGGTCCAGCCCACACTGCTTGTGTGGCTGCCACGCGCATACTTGCTTTGTGGCCAGCTGAGTGTCATAGCTGTTGGTTTGTGGCTCCGCAGGAGGAAGGGAGCACCCAGTGCCAGAGGAGGAGCGAGGTCCAGGAGGAGCCCTGCAGGAGGTGGGCCTGCCCTCCCCAGGCAGGCCGCAGGGAGGAAGCTCTCCCAGAGCACAGGTGGCTTCTCCATCAGACCTGCCATGTTTTACCACTAGGGGTCAGTAATTAGCAAAAGGGAATGGTTTCCTCCTATAATTTCACGTTTCCCTGTGAAATTGTTATTCACTAATACTGTTTACACACCCTGTCCTACCCTTTTATCCTCCCAGCGAAAACATCCGGGAGGGACGTTCTCATTTACCAGATCTGGCCTGCTCTGCCTCAGCCCGCACGAGCCCGCACGACCCCCAGACAAGTGTGACCTGACAGTGGTCGGCCCAGACACGGTCTCAGGGCACAGGGAGATGAACAAGCCTATTCTGGGAAGCCCCATAACCTTTGTCAGATTTGACCAACGATATGTAAAGAAAGACACTGAAATGTCAGCCTCATTGACACTGAGAGTTGAGCCATTTTGTCTTCTTTACATTTTTGTTTGCCAAGATTTCTACTTGTAATCAGAAATATATATGTGTGTGTGTATATATATATATATATATATATATATATATATATGAATAACTGTTCCCATCTTATTGCCCTTCCTCCTTCCCTCAGACCTGACCCTGACCCTGAGCTCTGCCTGTTTCCTCCCTGCCCCCACCCCCTGGATTTTCTCCTTGTCCCCATCCTCAGTCTGAAATCTTTGGTCTTTAAACAAGGAGTTACCTTTGCATTTGGATCACCATTTTTAAAAGTCAGGTGGCCCAGGTAAAATTGTCATTTCTTTGCAATGTCAGTCACTATTAACTACAAACCAAAGGTGCCAACTCTAGGGTGAGCCCCTCCCCCCATGCACCCATGGGGCCCCCGCCTCGGGCCTCCCTGAGCCCTGGCCCTGAGGCAGAGAGGCCGGCTTTGCCTTCATAACGCTGTGGGGGGGGGGGGGGTCTCTTAGGAGAGACAGGCAAGCCAACAGCAATGTGACAGTGACTAAGCACAGGTTCCCCTCCTGGGGATGGACAGGCTCTGTGTCCAGATGCAGGGGACCCAAACTGGGTTATTCAGCTCCCCTGCAAGTTCCACCGTTACTATTTATGTAAGTTTTTAAAACTGATTCACTTTTTTTATTACTGGAATACATTGATTTGAAAATGAAATTGTTAATAGCCCTACTATAAATGGAAAACCAATACCACTGCCATAAGTTAAAATAAACACAATGAACAGCAAACAATGTGATTAAAATCTGGCTGTGTACTGATCCCCATTTTTAAATTTTTAAATTTAGAAGAAAGAACTTTTAATTTAAGTTTTTAAAAGGAATAACTTTCTCACTCATTCTGCCTGATTTCATCCCATGGCCTGCCACTGTCGCAGGTCATTTTGCAGCCAACCTAAAACAATCTCATGTACCAGAGTGGTACTCGCCTCGTCTGCATCCGTCAGGGTCCTGGTGGGGACTTGAATGAAAGAGCAGACTCCTGGGCAAAGTTCAAAGGAACGTACGAGAGACAGGCGTCTGGAGGCTGCTAACAGAGGGAAGTCATCACCTCCCCGGGGGCTGAAAGACAAGAGGAGAAAATCATATTCTGGAAAAGCTGGAGTTCCGGGGATAGAGCCGCTGAGGGGGGGTCTCGAGTCAGAGACACAACTGGTATCGGAGAAGCATCAGGGAGCGAGGAGGAAAGAAGTGCCTCGGCCTCTCTCCTCCCAGCTTCTCCCTTGCCTCCCATTGGCTGGCCTGGACAGAAGGCAAATGGCAAATAAGTCTGGGAGCTGCAGTGCTGGGGACCAGCCTCTCGGGGCCCAGGGCAGCGCGGGAAAGGGAGATGGCAGGTGGAGCAAACAAGGTCAGGACAACATCCCTGGGAACCTTGCTGCACAGCACACGTGGGGGGCATACATACAACCCAGCCTGAGGCAGGAGTAGGGTGGGGACAGAGCGTGTACTGGAAAAGGACCACGCATGGGCCAGGGCTAGGAGGGGAGCACGCACGCACGCTGCCTGCTCGAGGTCTGACCTGCGTCCTCTCTGGCCTGCAGTCTCCGTGAGCATCAACAACCTGTACCCGGGCTGCGAGAACGTGAGCGTGAGGAGCCGCAGCATGATGTTCGAGCCGGGCCTCACCAAAGGGATGCTGGAGGTGTTCGTGGCCCCATCCCACCACCCGCACTGCTCCGCTGACGACCAGTCCACCAAGGCCATCGACATCCAGAATGCCTATTTGAACGGTACGGCCCACCCACCCCCAGGGGCAGGACCTCAGGTTCCCTTTGCCAGGGCTGTGAGTCATTCCCCTTAGGGAGCCTGTCCTACGGGCGTCCACCACGGCTGCACAAAGGACAGGGGAGAGCCGGTGCAAGTGCCATTGGGAGTGACCCAGGACTGAAGTGTGGCTGGTTAATGCCCCTAAAAAGTCAACTAAACAGCCTGGTGTCCCTGGCGTCCAGCAAAGCACGGGCACACAGTAGGTGCCTACTAAATGTTGAGTAAATGAATACATTTTTTCAAGTAGAGCTAAATACCCAGTTGGATGGGAAATCTCATAAAGTTCCCACTAGCCATTTGAAGAATTATTTTTAAATCATCTACACTCATTGCTAATGCTCTGATAGAGACACAGCATTTTTTTTTTTTTTAAGGCTAAATTTTAAGTGTGTTCTTTGCTCTCAAACCTTTCCAAGGGGATAAAGCTTCAAATGTTCCCAGGGAAGGTTTGCTTCCTCCAGTGACCACTGCCTTCTCGGTGTTGCAGCCCGGGAGCTCCCAGGGCCCCCAGCTGGGCCCAGGTCACTAGAACCCCAGCCCCCTGCCTTGTTGAGATGCAGTTTAGAGCAGGAATAAAGCAGTTTCTCTGAGACTCAGTTCCTGCATCTGTAAAATGGGGAGAGGCGTGTGCACGGTACCCCACCATCCCGGCCCTCACCCCCTGTCCTCCATAGGCCTTCACCCCGTTCCAAGTCTGGCTGCCGGTGCTCCCGAGGCTCAGAGGGCCTATTTCTGAGTTCCAGAACTCTTCACACTGAGGCTTGAGCTGCCAGACTTAGAGGGTCATCCCCCCAGGAGTGCCCATGCTCCTAGAGAAAGTTCTGGAAAAGCCCTGACTTTTCTAAATGAATCTTCCAAAATGACTCCTAACTGCAGAATTCCTGGCACAGAATAAGCACTGAGGGGAAAAATTAGGGAAAGAGAGCCTGAAATCCTGTAACATAAGTGGCCCTGCCAGGCCACCCCAGAGGCCGCTGGGTAGGTGGTCACCATCCTGGGGGGATGCGGCAGTATAGAAGTGGGGGCGTCCATGTGTCTGGACAGTCATTAGGAGGTTCTAGGTGCCTTGGGAACTCCAGGTCAGAATCTTACCCTCAGGCACTTTACGAAAACCAGGGCACCTGCAGCTCCAGTGTGGGGGAGCAACTGACCCCCCCCCCATAGACACATACACTAAACCTTGGAACCCTGCTTGACTCTGCCCCTACCGACTCCTTCCAGTTCCACCTACATCCTTCATATGCAGAGCTGCTAATCGGCTAGTGCATTTTACACCTGTGCACAGCACCTGCTTGATTCTGACCAGCCTGAGCAGGTCGCTCACTCCCTGTAGAAGGTGAATTTAGTTACTGCTTAACCAAAATTAAGCTTGCATTTCAGAGTGCATAATAATTTCATAGTGCATTTCAATTTCATAATATTTACGAGGGAAAAACAAAGTATGTATGTATACACAGACATTTCCATGTATGCTTTTAGGCATGCAGACACACACGTGTGTGAGAGTGTTGTGTGTGTGTCTATACCACTCCAGGGTATTTATAAGTAGACATGATAGAGATATAGATACAGATACAATGATGAAAGTGTTTAGCAAAATGGATAAGCAGATAGAGATGTAAGTAGATTTTTAGATTTACAGGTAAAAGGTGTGGCTATAGAAACACACATAGGCATCCGTAATAGGGATATATAGATGTTACGTACATAGATCTGTGCTTAAGCAGATACACAGATAAACAGATGAATGCCGTGGACATCCCTACTGGGAATCCCTAAAGTGCTAGGAAAAGTGATTGAGATTTGGCAGTGCTGTTTCACCATAGTCATCTTCGTTTTTCTCCTTAGGAGTTGGCGATTTCAGTGTGTGGGAGTTCTCTGGAAATCCTGTATACTTCTGCTGTTATGACTATTTTGCTGCAAACGATCCCACATCGATCCATGTCATCGTTTTTAGTCTGGAAGAACCCTACGAGATCCAGCTGAACCAAGTGATCTTCTGGCTCAGTTTCCTGAAGTCTCTTGTGCCGGTTGAAGAGCCCATAGGTGAGCTCAGACGCGGGGAGTGCAGGCCCCTCCCGCCAGCCTTGCGCCCCAGCTGTGCTCAGGTCCTGCAGCTTGCGGCCAACAGCTGCGGCTGCCTTCGGCCCTCCTTCCTGCTGGAAGATTCCCACGGTGGAGGCTTTCTGAGGCTCCCCTGTTCCTTTGTTCTGCCAGGAGTTCCTTCACGATTGAGTTTTCCTGCCATGGAGACAAAAGTCTGAGCAATTGCTTGAGATCCTTTTCTTACATTCTTTACGGCATGGTCGCCTTTGCTGGGTGCCAAGTGAAACAGCTCCTTTGAGGGTGACTGTGCCTCACCTGATGGCCAGGATTAGTCAACAGGGTGAGCCCCCTTCCTGCTGTAGCTCCGTCAGGAATGGAAGGAGGAGGCCCGTGTTGACTGAAGGCGTTAACTTTATTCCTTGAAGAGACGATCGCGTGGAATAAAGTGCTTTTCTTCTTTTCGTACAACAAAAGCAGCCGCCTTCCGTGGTGAAATATAAAACTCGGCAGTCAATTTTCTCTTGAAAAGCATCTAACAATCCAATAACTGGGGCTTAATCACTCTTGGCGTGCCACCGTTTTGCCTTTCTTTCTCCTTCCTCTTCCTGGTTTCTTTTAAACACTCCCGTAGTGAGAGGCTCTCCGTCCGTGTGAGCTGCAGGAGTTCCTCTTCTGAGCCGTGTCTGCGGTTTGCTGCGTTCAGAGGGCTGTGCTTGGTGTTGTCAAGGCAGAGGTTAGAGCTCCCTTGCCGTGCAAGCCGGGCCTCTGCAGGAAGAGCTGAGAGGCTGCCTGTGTTCCAACGTTGTTTCTGGGCCACTTCAGAGCAGCCTCCTTGAGGCGCAGGAAATGGCTCCTTGTTGTTGGCTGGGCCTGGGGCCTTCTAGAGGCCACGCCACACCGCGGGCACAGGGCTCTCGCGTCTTTGGGCAGGGTTCACATCCACCTGGAGAGACAGCTGGGCCTGAGGCCAGCGCGCCCCTCCTCACCTGGGGAGGAGAGATGGCCAGGGAGGAGAAGCCCTCTCCGAAACAGTTCTCTCTCTCCCCCAGCTTTCGGCGGCAAGCTGAAGAACCCACTCCGAGTCGTCCTGGTGGCCACGCACGCCGACATCATGAATGTGCCTCGTCCAGCCGGAGGCGAGTTTGGATATGACAAAGACACGTCATTGCTGAAAGAAATCAGGAACAGGTAAGGGGCAGGTGCTGGGTCTTCAGGGTAACACAGCCCAGGTCGTGTGAGCCAGAGAAAGGAATTAAAGAAATTCAAGGCCTCTTTCCTTCAGTTGCCTTTTTCGTTGTATTTTTTATTTTCATCAAAGCATTCAATACACATAATGACAAATCAAACAGTATCAAGAGCGCGGGATACAAGGCAGCTGTCTTCCGACTCCTCTTCTTCCCTCGGTACCCCTGCCCGGTCTTCCGACTCCTCTTCTCCCCTCGGTACCCCTGCCCGGTCTTCCGACTCCTCTTCTCCCCTCGGGTACCCCTGCCCGGAAGGGACTTCTTCTCGTTGTTTCAGGTATTGTTTTTCATCTTTATTGAGGTATAATTGGCAAAATTGTAAGATATTTAAAGTGTACATCGTGGAGATTTGATGTGTGTATACATTGTGAAAGGATTCCTCATCTAGTTAATTAATTAACATGTCCATCACTTCACACACTTAGCTCTTTTTCTCGAGAACATGTAAGTTCTGCTCTCGCAGCAAATTTTGATCCTATAATGCAGTGTCGCCAACTGTAGTCACCAGGTTTTACAGCAGCTTCTCACTTATTTTAGTTTTTAGCTTTCAGTTCTTTTGGCGGTTATCATCATACCACTATGAGTTAAAACCCATGGAGGGTCATGAAACTCCTTTAGGAGGTCCTGCCCACGTCCTTGTAAAGTGGGATGGGGTGGAGCAGGGTAGATGGAGTGGAATGGAAGATGTGAGTGCATTTCATGTCAAATATTTTTGTTAAACTTTTGTTTCACTTATAAATGTGAATGTGCACAGGGTCACAGTGTAAAAATACGTATTTTTACTTAATGTCTGTCAAAAAAGTTTGAACCTGCAGCTCTATATAACGTGCTAGAACTCGAATTCTTGGTTTATCAACCGAAGACACTTCTATATTATCTTCATGATATGAAAAATAGGGCTTCTATTAGTATTTTTAGGTCTAGGGACTAACTCATACTCGTCCCTCTATTCTTAGTCCGTCAACTTTCAACAGCATCTCTTCTCCTAAGTTGTAAGGTGAGCGCATTAGGCCTCACCCTGCCTGTGTCTGGGGAAGCTGTTATCTTTTCGTGCTGTGTTCCTGCCGCTTTGTGGAAGCCAAGGCACCATCGGCATGACTCTGAGTTTTCCCCAAGTCTCGGCACCAGGGTAACGTGACAGAGACCAGTGAACAGCAGGGTGGAGGGGACTTTGCAAGGTCATCAGAGCTTCCTTGCCTCCAGCCAGCCTTTTGGACCAGTAGGAGCCTGGCCCGGCCATGGGAACACCTGGTCACACTGAGTCACTCTAATGAGGACACTGCTCTTCCCTCAGGTTTGGGAACGATCTTCACATTTCAAATAAGCTGTTTGTTCTGGACGCCGGGGCTTCCGGGTCTAAGGACATGAAGGTGCTTCGAAATCACCTGCAAGAAATACGGAGCCAGATTGTTTCAGTGAGTACACCCGGGAGGGCTGGAACCCAGCCTCGCCCAGACCGTCCAGTCACATCCAGTGGCCCCAGGAGGTTTGAGTGGCCGGCTTGGTTTGGTTCGGCTTTCAGGGGCCCAGTAGAGGTGGCCGATGGACATGTTTTTATTCTGTTGCTCTGGGATGAGGAAGGAAGAGTTGAGAAACGAAGGGGGCCGCGAGGTGCAGGGGTTGCTATGGGCAAGGTGGACCACCTTAGAGTGTATGAAATTCTGACAGTTTTAGAGGTTTGTGTGAAAGTAAAGCTGCTTTTTACACATGTACAAAAGCAATTTAAAAGTGCTTGTCATGAAACATTTAGAAAAGTAGAAAAACAGTTACCAGCAAAATTTATCGAGGTGCATGAAATAGTGGATAAACAAGTGGAATGAGACTGTGTTCTTGGATGGCAAGATCTTACTAACGTACGTTAGCTTTCCTGGGTTGTATAGACTTCATACACTGCTAGACGGGATTGAGGAGATGGGGCTTTTTATCTTAAAATTCCAATGGAAGAATAAATAAAACGTATGAGAAAGGCTCTGTAATTGATCGATCAATAAATAAGTGGAATAGATTAGGGTTTACAAGTAAATCACATCTACAGAAATTTAATAGAAAAGAAAGACATTGTTTCAGTTTGATGGGGAAAATGTTATTTAATGAATGATCTGGTGCAACTGGCTGTTTGCCTAGAGGGAAATAAGGTCGAAGTCCTGGTCACTGCATGGTGCAAAATAAATTCTGGGTGGATTAAAGCTTTAAATGGAAAAAAATAAAACATATCCTGAGTGGAAATATGAGAGAGTGTATTTTTACAGCAACTTAGGAAGGGTTGGGAAAACTTTTAAACTGAGATAGGAAGCCCTAGACGTTTTCAAAGAAAATATGCCTCATTGAGAAAAGTTAAAAAAATTTTTCTGGCAAATAAATTCTATCAACACAGTTAAAAGGTGAGATAGACTGGGGAGAAATATTCTCAATGTCTTTGACACATAACAGGTTACTATCTGTACTATTCAAAAAAACTCTCCAAAATTGGTCTGGAAAGGGCAAGCGTCCCGAGGGAAAAATGCTGCAATGCCCCCGGAAATGTTCGTGCTGCACAAGCCAGTGTCCACTCGGGGGATGTGCCTCTCGCCCCCTGCCCAGCGGGTGCCCCCTCTAGTGACAGCTTAGGGCTTGCCCGGCGGGACATGCTGAGCTTCCGACACCAGGCTCCGGTCCCAGACGAGCTGGCGGGGTTTGCAGGGACCCACTGCTCGCTAATGAAGCCCGGCCCCCGCTTTCTGATAGGGCCCCACCGTGGCACGGCCAGCAGGCGAGGAGCAGACTGGGGGCCTCAGAGCAACCTGGCCACAGAAAGCAGTGGACGGCCATCAGGAACGGTGATCTGTGGGTGCTGCAGGGGGAGGGGGTCCCTGGAGAGTTTTTAGGGGGGGTGTGACGTGCCTTCTGCTCCACCCCCCCAACTCCTGAGGTCAGGCAGGTGGAGCCCACCAAGTAAACTCCCTTTCTCCTTGGGAGTTGTGTTTGTTAATAGGGAGTGGACGTAACTGACAGAAAAGGCAGGATTCCAGAAGGGGCTGCCCGATTAGTGATGCAGTGCAGTGTCTGGCTGGTGTGGTTCTAGTCAGGAAGGGGTGCTGATTATACGAGTCTGTAACATAGACTGATCTGTTTAACTAAGTTAAGAGATTAAAAAGCCATTTCAAGCCAATTACCAAGAATTAGGCTAATTTGAAATAATATTTCAACAACAATTTCCATAAATATCGAATTTATTGTTAAAAACCCACTCTGGTATTGATCATGATACTTATTCTCTTTTCCTCTCTGTGTTCCTGAAGTGACCATCCTCTGGCTGACACTGTCATTCCACGTGAGGGAGGGAGGGAGTAAAACATCAGGAATTAGTGAACGTTAGTTGATTGAGTCCACAATTCCAGAAACGTCCTTGTGAAGCCTCACCATCCGGTTAACGTGAGCAATAGAAATGAAAGCCTCTGCAAATTGCGTGACTCATACGTAGGTTCTGCTTAAGGGCCACGCTGGAGTAAGAACTGCCAAGTGCCTCACCAAAAGAGCCCTAACTTACGCAAAGACTCGCGAGCGTCGGCGCAGACGTGAGTGGCGCCGTTTCTGCCGTGCTCCGCCTGAGTCGCCACAGCCGTCCGTTGACCTGTCCGGTCCTGTATCTTCTAGGTCTGCCCTCCAATGACTCACCTGTGCGAGAAAATCATCTCCACGCTGCCTTCCTGGAGGAAGCTCAACGGGCCCAACCAGCTGATGTCACTGCAGCAGTTCGTGTGTGACGTGCAGGACCAGCTGAACCCCCTGGCCAGTCAGGAGGACCTGCGGCGCATAGCCCAGCAGCTGCACAGTGCGGGCGAGGTAAGGGCTCCTCCAGCCAGGCGGGGCTCTGAGGGGCCACCGGGGACTCATTTCTGTCGCCAGTCCCAGCATCTGAGGGTGGGCTGGGCCTGGGGAGGCGGCATGGAAGCCGCCCCACACCCCACACTATGTCCAGACACGAGGTTGCTGCACAGGGCCTCAGTGACCGCCTGAGCAGTTCCCTGCGCCCCTCTCCACCCCAAGAGCTGTGGTTTTGTTCACTCTGGCTTGTTTTCCAGCTTCTTAGTTAGGGAGCACAGTTCCCAGTGCACCGGGGGATGGGCCTCCCTGCTCTCGACCTGGGGCACCTGGGGCTGAGCTGCCCTCAGGATGGCTGCTCTCCACGGGCTGGTACCGCTCCAAGCAGACCTCTTGGGTTCACGGGCAGTCAAGAAATGGCTGTGACAGTGCGATGTCTGGAGACGCTAAGGCACAGTGACCCGCGGGAATGACCAAGAGATGGGAGTCCTTGCTCCACATTCGGCACTGAGATGCAGTGGAGAACCTGTTCTAAATTGCACTGTGTGCCCGGCTCCAGAAGGGGGGGCATAGCCTTCCCATTCTCCATGTGTGTAGTCAGGAGACGGCATAGGCTAATCTGGGCCAAGAAGAGCAGTTCTGAGAATTTTAGAGCACAGCAGCTGCCCCTCCGATCTCACGTGCCACCTCTGACCCTGTGGCTGGTTTGTGTGAATCGTATCAGCTTGAAATCAAAACTGAGTCCAGAGCCAGTGACCCTGAAAACTGGAGCCTCAGGCGGGGATGGCTTCAGCTTTGGGACTCATGAAACTGCCGCTACTCCACTGGCCCCTCCCACGACACTTTAAAGTGGATCTGAGGATGGGGGTAGCTGGAGGGTTAAAGGCCATGTTATAAAATGCTGCTGGATATGAGAAGATGTTTTCATCATAATCATACACTCACTCCTTTTGGCACGGTATTCTCTCATTTCTAGGATTTGATCAACAGCTTTCTCGATCATAGCCTATAATTCACTTTATTTGGCATCACATACCTCCTTGCCCATGAGATGTAGCACGTAAATAAACAAAGACTTGAAAGTAGAGGAAAAAAGGGGCCAGCCCAGTGCTCAGAGGTTAAGTTCGCGTGTTGCACTTTGGCGGCCCGGGGTTCTCCAGTTGAGATCCCGGGTGCTTGTTGGGCCATGCGGTGGCAGGCGTCCCACATATAAAGTAGAGGAAGACAGGCACAGATGTTAGCTCAGGGCCAATCTTACTCAAAAAAAAAAAAGGCGGGGGGGGTGAGGAGAAGGGAATTCCAAATCAGGTGGCCCTCTGAGGGCCGCCAGCCTCTCCTCCAGCGTTGTTACTGCCCTCCAGGACTAATCTGCGGATCTTATTTAAATGTCACCAGTTGTCCTCCTAGTGACTTTTTTCTGGCCCAGGACCCCACAATGGGCTTAGCCAACCTTAGTCTTCTCCAGTATGGGACAGTTTATCAGTCTGTTTTCGATGACCCTGAGCTGACAGGTGGTCTCAACTGCAGATGGTGTCCCACCAGATGCCTTATCAAGAAGTAGATGCTGGCTCGCGGATCACCTGCAGCCTGCCCGCTCCCTCCCCGCTCCAGGGCCAGCCACTGTCACGGTGGATGTCCTGCCACACCTTTTGTATGAATGTGTGTGAGAAATTTATGTAGTGATAGAACATTGTTCTGAATCTTTTTTGAAAGATTTCAAGCCTTCAGAGAAGTTGCAAGAATAGTACTACGACTCCTCGTATACACCACACCTAAATTAACCAATTGTCTCCTTTTGCTACACTTGCTTTATCCTTCTCTCGTCTGTTTGTCTATTTACTTTTTAAATATCATGGCATTTTACCCCTAAATAATTTAGCCTGTATCTTCTAAGGAGAAGGACATTCTTCCACATAACCGCAATATAATTTTCACATTCTGGAACCGTAACATTGATACAATACTTTATTAAGCATGTAGTTTTCATTCAAGTGTTTGCCACTTGTCCCAATGATTTCTTATATAGCTGTTTGTATTCATTTATGTATTTATTTTGGGATTCAGAATCCAGTCAAAAATCACTCATTACATTTGGCTGCCATCTCTTTCTCTCTTTTTTGCCTTTCATTACATTTTTTAGAGTCCAAGATAGTCTTTTCAGAATCTCTCTTATGACATTTCCAAGCTGGGTTTCGGGCTCAGCGTTTGGTTTCCCAGATCCATCCACGTGAATGCCCTGGGTCATTCCTTGCCACATCCGCACAGATCTTGTCACTGCTTGGGCCCTTGGGTGCTCTGAGCAGCTGCTGCACCCGTCCATTTATGTTCCTGTGTGTGACCTCCTGTTGTCCCCCTCTGGCAGATCAACATCATGCAGAGTGAAACAGTCCAGGACGTGCTGCTCCTGGACCCCCGCTGGCTCTGCACCAGCGTCCTGGGGAAGCTGCTCTCCGTCGAGACCCCCCGGGCCCTGCACCATTACCGGGGCCGCTACACCATGGAGGACGTGCAGCGCCTGGTGCCCGACAGCGACGTGGAGGAGCTGTTGCAGATCCTGGATGCCATGGACATCTGCGCCCGGGACCTGAGCAGTGGGACCATGGTGGACATCCCCGCCCTCATCAAGACAGACAGCCTGCACCGCTCCTGGACGGACGAGGAGGACGAGGTGATGGTCTACGGCGGCGTGCGCATCGTCCCGGTGGAGCACCTCACCCCCTTCCCGTGCGGCATCTTTCACAAGGTCCAGGTGAACCTCTGCCGGTGGATCCACCAGCAGAGCACCGAGGGCGACGCAGACATCCGCCTGTGGGTGAATGGCTGCAAGATTGCCAACCGCGGGGCCGAGCTGCTGGTGCTGCTGGTCAACCACGGCCAGGGCATCGAGGTCCAGGTGCGTGGTCTGGAGACGGAAAAGATCAAGTGCTGCCTCCTGCTGGACTCGGTGTGCAGCACCATCGAGAACGTCATGGCCACCACGCTGCCTGGGCTGTTGACGGTGAAGCATTACCTGAGCCCCCAGCAGCTGAGGGAGCACCACGAGCCGGTCATGATCTACCAGCCGAGAGACTTCTTCCGGGCGCAGACCCTGAAGGAGACCTCGCTGACCAACACCATGGGCGGGTACAGGGAGAGCTTCAGCAGCATCATGTGCTTCGGCTGCCATGACATCTACTCGCAGGCCAGCCTGGGGATGGACATCCACGCGTCAGACATGAACCTCCTGACCCGGAGGAAACTCAGTCGCCTGCTGGACCCGCCCGACCCCATGGGGAAGGACTGGTGCCTTCTTGCCATGAACTTGGGCCTCCCTGACCTTGTGGCAAAGTACAACACCAATAATGGGGCTCCTAAGGAGTTCCTCCCGAGCCCGCTCCACGCCCTGCTCCGGGAATGGACCTCCTACCCTGAGAGCACGGTCGGCGTCCTCATGTCCAAACTGCGGGAGCTGGGGCGCCGGGATGCGGCCGACTTTCTGCTGAAGGCCTCCTCTGTGTTCAAAATCAACCTGGACGGCAATGGCCAGGAGGCCTATGCCTCGAGCTGCAACAGCGGCACGTCCTATAATTCCATTAGCTCAGTCGTGTCCCGGTGAGGGCAGCCTTCGTTTTGGGCAGGGTCTCTTCGCACTGCAGAAGCAAGGGGGATCAGCCCATCTTGCCGTCAGAGATTCCGGTGCATCCCTTCGTCCGCCCACTTGCTGAGGGACGCCACCCTCCCTCCCACATCACCTATTTCTCTGCCACTACCTCCCTCCTTCCCACACGTTCCGTTGCATTACATGGTCTTTCTAGTTTAAGAACAGACCATATCCTTTCCTTTGGCCATTTGAAAAACTAGCACCCCTCTGCTCTGTGTTCTGGACCCCATCTCTCATCCTCTAGTACCTTGCTTCTTACTGATAATTTTACTGGAATTCCTAACTTTTCAATGAAAATTTTTTTAACTACTATATAGATTGTCCTTTAAAAAAAAGCGCACATTTATCCAAAAGGTGTATTTCTTATACTCTTTTCTTTGTTATACCATGTCCTCAGCTTCTCTCTTTTATATTTGTAGGAAAAACTCCCATGTATGGAATCGCACTGTATGATTTATAAACAGACATTATGTGAGTGCCTTTTGCAGAAGAGGGTGTGTTTGAAATCATGAGTGAGCCAGCAGCTGTCACGAAGGAAACGCCCCTCTCTGTCCCCTGCTGTTGGCTGATCATCGCCAGAGGTGCTTCACCCTGAGTTGTGTTCCCAGCGGTTTCGTGTTTCATTTGTCAAGGAAAGGGGAGGGAGGAACGCCCCCCCTCCAGAGCGCCGTCCGGCCAGTGCTGTTGCTACGGTAGACATGTTCTCGTTTGCTTTTGTTGAAACGTCGTGTGAACGTCCACATGGACCTCAGGACGTCCCGCTTCTCGCTCCTGCCCTCTCAGGAGGAGGCTGCTCCGCAGAAGGGTGGGGAGGCCACGTGAGGACCCCGGAGACCCTGCCTCCCGACTCGTGCAGGCCACCGTCGTCTGTGCGAGCAGGTGGCTTTCCACTTTAGATCCTGTCTGATAATTTCCTGTACTTGAAGTCCGAGAGAGAAAATAAAAGAAGCAACTTTTCTTGCAGTGGTTTTAAATTGTGATAGTTTTAAATTGATATGAGGGAACATGTCCTGATTCTTCTGTCCTGAGAAGCATGTAATTTTAATGTTATATGTGTGTGTATATATATATATATATGCAATATGTATATACATATATATTAATACAGGTATTTTTACTGAATCTATAAGATGTAGTAAAAAGTTGTTTGTTTTTCTTTTCTTTTTTGTTTATTTTTTTCCTTTTTTAAAAAATAAACTGTTGCTTGTTGCATTAGTTTGTTGGTCTTTAATTCAAAAAGGATTCTTTTTCTTTGCTTTGTTTTCACTTACCAGTACTCCACCTGGGGCACAACCAATCTGAAACGCACAAAGTCATTAAACCTAAACTCCCGGGGGCGGAGGACAACCCAGTTTCTTTAGGTGCTCAATTATTCCTCAGATTGAGAATGGTCTGAGAAGGAAAAAGAGCCCAGATGATCTTCACATTTGTTCTCACTTTAAAGGAAAGGGGCTCCTCCCAATGTCCTTGGGTGAACCAAACACCAAATTGAATCCTTTAGTCTCGGCAGCAGGGGGCGGGGGAAGCCGCCTGTCTCTGGACACAGGTGGAGGGCGTGGGGCCCTGCAGCGAGCGGCAAGGACACCCTGCATGGAAGACCCTTCTCTGCCTCCCCTTGTCTCACTGGGCCCCCCCACCCAGGCCAGCAGCTGGGACTCCAGCTCTGACCCGCTGGGAGCTGTGAGTGACAAGACCTCTAGCAAAATCTCAAGACAGCTTTGAAAAGAAATGGGTGAAGAAAAAAAATTGGAAGGAAAAAGACTGAAACGGTGACGATGATTTTCTCTGTGATGGTGGGAATACAGTTTGTCTCTGTTTTGCCCAAATTGTCCACAGTAAACATGATTTACTATTACAATGAGGAAAGAAATATTAATGAAATAAAACTGAAAGCTACACATGGACTTGCCCAGAAAGGAGGACAAGGAAAATGAAATTCTAGTTGCCTTGGAAGAGTGGAATCTCCTTTTCTTGTATCAGCTCCCTCCTAGATGTCAACTTCATTTGCTCCTACTTTGGAAGAGTGCCTCCCGCTGCGGGGATACAGCGCCAGGCCGCTGGACCTCAGGGACAGGGGTTCGCCTCCGGCAGCATCTGTATGTCCAGTCCCAGAGAAGGATTCTGACCTGTCCATCTTGGGTCACAGAGCTGTCCTTACGCAAAGCATGGTGGTTGGGGGAGATAGAGTTACCCAACTGGCCTGGCCCCAGTGGCCCAGAGTGGCTCCTGGGAAGGAGCAGTCCTCCCCCAGCTGGGAGTTGTGTTAACAGAAGGGCGGAGGGAGGATCGTGACCAACAGTGCAGAGTGCTGCAGGGTCCTCACACTTCTCTGTAGGCCCTGAGTTCATAAGGTGACGTGGCCTCCTGGGCTCCTGAGGTGCTGAAGCCATACTTAGGATTCAGTACAACCCGAATTTGAAGAGCTTCAGGACCACTGAGCTCATTGCCCCATCCTGGGAAATGCCTTGAGGGGCATTCAGCGTGCCTTTTGGGGTCATGCCATGAACCTGGTTAGGCTGAAACTGGCAAAGCCCCACCATGTGTAGACAGCTGTACCTCCTGCAGCAGGAAGAAACCAGACCATAGCTTACTTCCTGCGGGCACAGTGAGAATCAAAGGGTGCAAGTGTATAGGAGCCAGAAAGCAAAGCCTTCCGTGGGGCCCTTCTTAGCGTTGCCGTGAAATGCGCTTGGACAACATGCTCTTCATGGCCTCTGGGCTGTGGCTGCCCCTTGGTACAAAGCCCAGATGCCAGCTGCCCTGGGGGGCCTGAGGTCTCCACATGGGACGCAGGGCCTCTGTGGCATGGGCTGGAGGGCACTTCGGGGAATTCTGATTGGTTCCAAAATCTGGATCTCACACCTTCGAAAAGGAATCAGAACTCTGGGGGCGACTCTGGTGGCCTTTTTTGCAGACAGGGGTTTCCAATAACAACTACAGGATTCCTTGAAATCGAAACAACATTCGGCCCTGTCAGTGTCCAGAGTCCACACAAGTCTTACTGAACCCTGACAGTGTGACCCCAGAAAAGCCTCTCCGAAGGGAAGAGCCAGCCTGGCTGCTCCTGCGTGAACAGTGGCTAGATGCCAGCCTGGCTGTGAGTCCGGGAGGGTCATTGGGAGACCTGAGCTCGAGAGTGGAAGTTCTTCGTTGAGAGTAAGAAAAGAGTTTCAGTTTTGCAAGATGAAAAAAGTTCTGGACGTGGATGGTTGTGATGGTGGCACCACAATGTGAGTTAACGTCACTGCATAATTAGTGCCACTGCACTGTGCGGTCACAAAGGGTTAAAATGAGAAATTTTATCTCTCTTTTACTACAATCTTTTTAAAAGAAGGGGGGAAAAAAGGTGAAGTAGGAACCTGAGACTATCCAGGTAACAGCAAAGCTTGCAGAAAAATGTACAAGACGCCCCATGTGTTCAGAGCAGCCCAGCCACGCCGGCCCCCAGGGAGGGACACAGGAAAGGATGGACTGCTTTTTGGAAGAATATTTGTTATTCTTTGGTATATTTGGTATTTGTTATTTCAAAAAAAAATCTTTAAAGTGGTTATCACAGGAGGAAGAAGTAAGAATTTCCCTAGGCTTCTTTTCTCTTTTTGCTTGCTGTTCATTTTTTTCTTTTTTTCGCTTTGAATTCATGCGTGGGATGGTGGCATAGTCTTTTCAGGACTTTGAATTCTTAATGCCTTCATCAGGCCAAACTGTGTATGAGGAGTAACATGCTCTGACCCACCATTCCCCAGACGCTGGCTCAGCCCCTAGTGTGGGCACCAGCCCCAGGCTCACAACGTGGGCGTGGAGCCAAGTGGGCCTGTGGGCTCCCCTGGGCCAGCCACTGGGCTCAGCTCAACGGCTCCTGAGGAATTCGCTCTCGGGGGCTGTTTGCAGGCATTGTGGCTGTGCTGTGGTGGCCACCTGAGGGTAAGGTCAGAATTTTCCTTTTCAACCAAGTCATGGGCTGGGGAGAGGCTGGAGCTTCCAGCCCCTCAGACCCAGGACTCAGTGGCTTCTAGACGTGAGCCCAGACAGGGACAGGAGCATCTGTCACAGCTGAATGTCCTGGCCAGAGGGTGTGCCAGGGAGATGCCCCGAAAGGGGGTTTTAAGTAGTCATCAGCCCCCTTCCATCAGCCCCCACCCCTGGAAATGCACGTGGCAGAGTGGGAAACGACCCCAGGGGACAGCTGCTAATCTTCCCAGGACCGCCCAGCCTCAGATTGTTGTGGGCTCCTGATTGTTGTTCACAAGGCCATTCTTTGATCAAAAAGGAGTGAAGATGCGTGTGGGCGTGAGGAGGGGGCAGGATGAAGTCCCACAGATATCAGCGGCAGAGGTCCCCTGGGTGGGGCTGTGGCGCGCCCGCACTCTCGGGCTGATGCGTGGTGGGGCGGCCTGGCCAGGCGCCGAAGGCTGTGACTCCAGCCTGTGGGGTTCCTGTCAGGGGTACAGAGAAGGGGCCGAGACCAGCTCGAGGTGGATGAGGTGTCTTGTCCCACTGAAATCCCAGAATTTTACAATGAGAAGAGATCTCACAGAGGGTCTGGTTCAACCGCTCTTTGGGGGCTGGAAGGAAAGAGTTTAAGCGATTTAGACAAAATTGTATGGTTCATTTATTAACAATTCAGACTAAGTGTCAGGCCATCTGACCACAACTGGGGGCCCCTTGTACTCCTCTGCTAAATATTTATATTGTAATGTAGTGTGTGTGTTGTGAGTGTACATGTGTATGTGTGTATATTGTGTGTGTGTGCATAAGTATATGTGCATAAGTATATGTGTATATGTGTGTCCTCTGTGTGTGCATGTGCATATGTGTAACTGTGTATGTGTGCCTATGCGTAACTGTACGTGTGTATACACCTATATAAGTTTGTGTGTTTGTGTGTGAATGTATGCATGCGTGTATATGTGTATAAGTGCGTTCGTGTGTGTGATATGTGTATGTTGTATAATGTGTGTGTGGTGTGTGTGTAGATGTGTATAAGTGTATCTTTATGTGTGTCTGTGTGTGTGTATGTTTGGAGAATGTGTATTGTGTGTGTATGTGTGCAGTGTGTGTGTTGTGTGTAAGTGTAGGTGTGTGCACATGCATGATGTGTGTACCGTGTGTGTGTGTCTGTGTTTCATGAGGTGAGGGATTCTCTGCTGTAAAGATTGTTCTTCTGGCCCATAACGTTGGTTCCCACCGATTCAGCCGCGAGTGCCCATTTTCCCAGTCAGGTGACTAACAGCATCGTGAGAGCTTTCCTCTTCCCACACCTCCATGTGGTGGAGGTTCTCGCCCCTATGTGAGCCGCAGGGGGTTCTGCGAAGCCCTCAGGTTGCGTCACAGCCAGTGTCAATGATAATCTTTCTGTTTTCTGAGAAGGCCAGGCACCCTAGAGCGCAGCCCCCGGTGATTCCCTTGAAGAATGTGGTTGTGTGCCTAATACTTGCACGAGAAGGAGAAGCCAGGCGTTTGCCGCTGACAGTGCGCTCCTGCCTCTGCGCTGGGAGTCGGGAACCAGAGTCCTGGGCTGCTGGCCCATCTGGGGCTCGGGCGCTGCCCTTGGCTTCCAGGGCAATGTGATGCAGTGAAAGCTTTCATCCCTTTGGCTTTTTGTCCTAGACATATTTTCATGTAACTGAAATCATACAAAATGCACAATGCTATACCCTGCTTCTTCTTAACCCAACATTATGATGGCTGTTTGCAAGGTCGTCAGCAGCTCTTCAGACACATCGGTTTCAAGTGCTGAGCAATGCTGTCATCCTCTGTCCCATCCCCATTGGCCTGACCGTTCCCTGCCGTGGAATGCTCGGCATTTTTCTCTAAATGAGGCATGTTTCCCTCAAACATCTTTATGCACATTTCTTTTCTATATTTTGGATTCGATGTGAAGTGTTTTTTGGCTTTTGTCACATAACATTAAAATCCAAGGAGAGGGGCCGGCTCCATGGCCGAGTGGTTAAGTTCAGGCGCTCCGCTGCGGCGGCCCAGGGTTCGGATCCTGGGCGCGGACATGGCACCGCTCGTCAGGCCACATTGAGGTGGCGTCCCACATCCCACAACTAGAAGGACCTGCAACTAAGATATACAACTATGTATGGGGGGGGTGGGGTTTGGGAAATAAAGCAGAAAAAGAAAAAAAAAATGATTGGCAACAGTTGTTAGCCCAGGTGCC